CAGACCGTTGAGGAAATGTGATATGTTGTGAGAGTGATTATTTATTTATTTATTTATTGTTGATTAAAAAATATTTAAAGTAGCGCACAGTTACCTTCATTTAAGTATGTATCCTGATTAAGCATATAAAATTTTAAACAGAGGGTTCAAGTCAACATTTATAACTTAAACATATAATGAATGATCATTTGAGATAAATTTTGTTAACTTCTTATGGCATGAGGTCGCGAACGAAGCTTGTCGTGTGAATGGGGCGGATCATTGGATGGGGTGATATTTTGAGGTCACAGACGGAGTTCGACGTAGGAACGGGGCGGGGCGTTCGGACACGAATGGGGCCTTTGGATGCGGATGAGCGCTGGCGTCGGACGGAGCTCAGTGCGTGAACAAGGTGGGGTGTTCCTCTGCGTCCGGTCGGAGGACGTAATAATTGTTCCTAGAGTGGAAATATTTCTCTACATAAAAACAAATGCAGCTGCAGCTCACTCGTTGAGCAATGGGAAGTAGGCGGGTGGGTCTTCCTCTCACCCTCTGTGGTATTGCATCGAGCTACCCGACTTAAATTAAATAAATATATTTTGTTAATTGTGGTCAACTCAACTAGCTCGTTCACGAGCTGCTCGAGAAGAGGCTTGATAAGCTCGAAACGAACCAAACTCGAACATGAACCGAATAGAACTCAAACATGGAAGTTTTAAACTAGCTCGAACTCGAACAGCTATCCAAGAAGCTCGACGAGCTTCGAGCCCAGCTTGAGCTCGATTCTAACAGACGAGCCCGAACTCGAACAGGACAAAGCTCGGCTCGGCCCGGTTCGTTTGCTGCCCTAACTCCTCTTCTAGTAGCTTGTGGATTAGTCTTTTACAATAATGTTAAAGAAAGGGGGATTATAATGGTAGATAATGAGAATAACATTCTCATACCTACACAAATAGTTACTTGATGGAGGGTGTTCATTAGCTACAAGAAGCTAAACAAAAGCAACAAAGAAGGATTATTTCTCCCTATCATTCATTAATTATATGCTAAACAAACTTGTATGAGAACTTATATTATTGCTTCTTGGAAGGTTACTCATAGTATAATATGATCACCATTAACCCATTAGGTCAAGAAAAGAAAACTTTCACATGCCTACATTGAAATTTTGCTTTTAGGCAGATGCCTCTTGGGCTATGCAATTTTCCAACCAGTTAAAATATTTTTTTTTATGTTTTTTTTTTTTCCAACCAGTTAAAATATAAATACAACTATCAAAAGAAATTTCACATAAATTTGCAAATAATTATAAATTAAACTTGCAGACTAGTTGAATAATTTAAATATAACTCTCAAGATATTTTTAATTTGAAACTCTTATAGGACTAATTAAATAAATTATATATAAATATAAAATAATCTTATTTAAAAAACATGTACAAGTAATTACATAAATTAGATACATAGAATAATATTAATTCACTTTAATGGATCTAACCATATAAATTAACAATGGAACATTAAGGAAATTTAAGATCACTAGCCATTGAATTCTTGTACTTTGAATTTTTTTATTAGATGAATATAAATTATTTTATTTAAAAATGAACATCTCCACGTAGTTGCACATGAACAATTTGAGGAATCAACTTGAGGTGTGTCAAACGCTTTCTATTCACTCCATTGTCAACAAGATAACATATTTGGGGATTCCTCTTTCCTTCTATAGGCTGAATGTTGCTGATTTCTTGCCTTTACTGGATAGTTTAAATAAGAAACTTAATGGTTGGAAAGCTAATCTTCTCTCTTTTGTGGGTAGACTTCAATACCTCAAATTTACCATTCAAAACACTATTGCTTACTGGATTAGAGGTTCTATTTTACCTAAATCTGTGCACAAGGTTTTTAAAAAAATCAGCTCTAGATTTCTGTTTTTTGGTGAAGTCAATTCGGTTAAGAAGCTTCATATGGTATCTTGGGATAAAATCTGCATGCCTAAAGAGAAAGGGGGTTTGGGGATTTACTCTCTTAACGCTTTGCAATATGCCTTCAACTGCACTATTATTAGTAAGATGTACAATAATGTATCTCCTTTAGCTTGCTGGCTGTTAGCTAAGTACTGTTCCCCATGGAAGCCTCCGCATAGTTCTGCTTCCAAGATGTGGAAATCCATCTGTAAAACGGCTGAAGTTGTGAAAAGATGCTTTCAATTTTCTATCTTTCCTAACAGTCCCATCTCTTTAAAATGGGATCACTGGTGTCTTAACTCCACGTTGGGGAGTATTGCTGGTTTGGTTGACAATGCTGGGTTGCCGGACATTAGGCTAGCTGATATTATTTCTGTGAATGGCTGGGAGTTATCTGGTATTATTCACCCGACGTTGCATCAGTTTTTTGAGAGGGTGAATATTCTGAATGGTGTGGGGCCTTGCTTGCTTTGGAATAACAGGAATTGCTTTCATTTTAGATTATTTATTAAAGACTTTTACTCGGAACTTCCAGATTGCCTTTGGTATAGTATGGTCTGGCACAAAAAGTTCATTCTTAAACATTCTGTTTTTGTTTGGTTGGCTTTAAGAGATGGGTTAAAAACTGCGGCTGCTCTCAGGATTAGGCAAATTTTAGTTCCCATCACCTGCAGTTTATGTCATATGGGTGATGAATCTGTTGCTCACCTCTTTTTTGAATGCAATTACTCTTTCCACATTCTAAAAAGCCTTATTCCTGGGATAGATATCTTCCTGTTTAGGCCGTCGATTCTGCAACTATTTGAATGGATGAAAGGTGAATTTGGTTCTAATGTGAATACTCTAAATTTTTACATGTTGGCGGTTTGTTCTATCATCTACTTCACCTGGAAAGAACGAAATGGAAGGAGATTTGGTGGAATTTCTCATTGTTCCACCACTGTGCTGCTGAATATCAAACGTGTTATTTTTGAGAAGGTGATGAAATGGAAGTGCGCTAATGAATTGCTGGAGAAACTTTAAACAGCTGGTATTACGGATCCCACGTTGTTTTGGAAGGATATGGTCTGGTGTATTTGGTTTATTAGCCAGGACTATGATGAAGCTCCATTTGCTGCTTGACGAAATATCCCCCCTTGGATGGCCTTCGGGCAACCAGGGGTTAGCCCCTATCATATGTTCTGAGTCCTGGTTAATTGATTCTGGAGCTAATTTCTGTTGGTTCTAACCTTTATTTCTGTTATTGGTGGCTTCTTTTCAGTCATTACAGTTGCTTCAGGCCCTTCTTTTCGCACTGCTGACGGATTTTGAGCTTCTGCTTGCTGGATTCAGATGACTGTTGGCCCCTTTGGGGCGGTTCTTGTGTTCTCATTTGTCTCTTTTTGTTTTGCTTAAATGGTTAGAAAGATTTTCCTTTTTTGTCTTACATGTAATTTTGGTTATAAGGGTGGTATAGTTGGGGTTTTTTTCTTCCTCTTCTACATGAGGTTTTGTTTTTTCTCATGTAGAATCTCTTCTTGTATACACCTTTTACATGTAATCTTTTTGCAATTTAATAGAAGGGCTTAGGCCCCAATTATTCCCAAAAAAAAAATATAAATTATTTTATTTAAAAATGAATATCTCCACGTAGTTGCGCATGCACATGAACAAGTCTATAGGAGGACCATTTAAATGAATATTTTTTATAAGTGTAGCACAATCTTTCATGGGCACGCCTAGTTCTAAGTTATAAAGCTTCAATTATTCAACCAACCACTATAGAAATTTATGGATTATACTGCTGCAATTTAAGGCTTCGTTAGCGACAGCTTTATTACTGTTTTTCAAATAATTTTATAATACAAAAGTTAAAAATTTTTATATTAAAAAGTTGTTTTAAGAAGCAGTAAGAAAGCCGTCCCAAATGAAAACTAAAGATTACATTCGAAATTCCATAAAACTGGGCTACATACCATTGAACCAACCAGAACGTGCTACGTCACTTTTTTGCTCGGTACCAGTGCTCAGTACCGCTGTCTATCAGGTGACATGATCTTTTCAGTCATTACAGTTGCTTCAGGCCCTTCTTTTCGCACTGCTGACGGATTTTGAGCTTCTGCTTGCTGGATTCAGATGACTGTTGGCCCCTTTGGGGCGGTTCTTGTGTTCTCATTTGTCTCTTTTTGTTTTGCTTAAATGGTTAGAAAGATTTTCCTTTTTTGTCTTACATGTAATTTTGGTTATAAGGGTGGTATAGTTGGGGTTTTTTTCTTCCTCTTCTACATGAGGTTTTGTTTTTTCTCATGTAGAATCTCTTCTTGTATACACCTTTTACATGTAATCTTTTTGCAATTTAATAGAAGGGCTTAGGCCCCAATTATTCCCAAAAAAAAAATATAAATTATTTTATTTAAAAATGAATATCTCCACGTAGTTGCGCATGCACATGAACAAGTCTATAGGAGGACCATTTAAATGAATATTTTTTATAAGTGTAGCACAATCTTTCATGGGCACGCCTAGTTCTAAGTTATAAAGCTTCAATTATTCAACCAACCACTATAGAAATTTATGGATTATACTGCTGCAATTTAAGGCTTCGTTAGCGACAGCTTTATTATTGTTTTTCAAATAATTTTATAATACAAAAGTTAAAAATTTTTATATTAAAAAGTTGTTTTAAGAAGCAGTAAGAAAACCGTCCCAAATGAAAACTAAAGATTACATTCGAAATTCCATAAAACTGGGCTACATACCATTGAACCAACCAGAACGTGCTACGTCACTTTTTTGCTCGGTACCAGTGCTCAGTACCGCTGTCTATCAGGTGACATGACGCGTTCTGATTAATCTCTAGACCGTCCTGTATCCGCACAAAATAATTTCTCCCTCGCAGCAGGTCACTGACCAACTCTCCGAAGAGAAACAACCCTTGTTAACCAGCTTCCAAAGTTGTGAATCAAGCAGCAAAAATGTTCATGAGTCATATTTCCAATTGATTTGGAAAAGCTAGATTGTACTGGGATGCATCTAGAGTTTGTATCGATGAATCTGGTCAAAGGAATCGCAGTGTTGAAATTGATTACAGTAAGAAATTAACTATAATTTACAGGGGGGGCAAAAGTGAAAACTTTACAGGAATGTAAGGGTCAAAATTGGATGGTGGCTAAATAAGATACTTGCTACTGGTTTCTCACTACTGTAAAGCTCAAGAGAGAAGACAAGTTGGACAACGCATTCTACAAGCTACAGAAGCTACAACTCTCCCTCCATTATTCCTTTGTAAGTCTTCTGATTTAGGCTTCGTTTGGGACGGCTTCTTAAAGTAATTTTTTAGTAAAAAAAAAAAATTGTATAAAAAAGCTGCTTTAAGAAGCAGTTAGAAAGTCATCCGAAACGAAACCTTATTGCGGTCTTCGGATTCCTCTCTCAGCCTTAATGGAAGCAATAGCAGCATCAGCAGCAGGTCCCAGACCTTTTCGGCCTACCAATTTCACACCAAGCTTTTCAGATAGATAATGTAACCTCATTTCATCACCTCCTCTCACCTCTCTCAGTTCCAAAGCTTGTTGCTGTGACAGTAAAGTGTAGACATGAAGCTGCTGTTGCTGGTTGTAATGAGACTGTAGTTGATGAAATAACAACTTGTTTGAATGTTGTTGATCTGCTTTAGTTCCCTCACTATTACTCTTCTTCTTTATAGCACCAAGAGCTACCCTTAAGATTGCAGTAGATTTTGGATCAGAAGTTTTCCCACCAAAATTAATCGAGAAGCTTCCAAATTCTAGATCAGGTTCCCTGAATAAATCTTCAAGAAGTGCAGCACAAGATTGAGTGTTCTTCGAAAGGCTCCTTTCGACTTCGATGTTCAAAGATCGAGCATTCGCATGGCGAGCCATATTAGCAGCCTCTCTGAGACCACTGAGGAAAGCTCCATGCATTGTGGCAGGGTATCGCCTTGTAGTAGCTTCGCCGGCAAAGAATAGCCGTCCATCGCCGACACTTTCCGCTAAGATATCATAGTCATCCCCAGATGCGCCGACAGCAACGTGAGAATATGATCCCAAGCTGAAAGAGTCTGTACCCCATCGAGTACATACACTTTGGAGAGGATCCGGAACATCAATGCCTTGTGGTTCAAAGATTCCTATTTCATAAAATGGTCTGATTAGTAACACTAAGGAAAACATGAAGGAGGAACTTTCTAGATGGTAGTGTAAGAAACATATGAAAGAAGAATAGCTCTACTCAGATACAATAGTAAAATTGTTCTAATGAAATTAAAAAAAAATCCCAATTTCCATATTAAAAGTTGTGTTTGACGTTCATATCAGTTATAAATAAGTGTCCAAGTAGAACAGGATGATTGTGAATGATGGAGAGATAGGGATGCCTTCTCATTATATGAATATTTACCTTCTTCAGGAGTTGTTTAATGGAAAAATTTTCAGTTTTTTCAATCGAGTCACAATGAAAAATAAAAAAAATAAATAAATAAAAAAAAGAGAAATGGAACAGGTACAAATGCATAATCATACATGCTTCCCACCAAACAACAGTGGCAAAAAGATATAATCCTGTTAGGAAACACGTGAAGAAATTGAATCGATGCTGGGCTGAAATTGAAATTTCAGCAAGAAGAAATCTGAAATAGAGAAAAATCTGGAGAAAAAACTCTTGAAACACCTTCAGATTGAAGAAAAAAATGGAAGAAACAAACAAGATACAATGGATCTTCAATTGGAGAGAAAGATCTTCCTCTCTCAATCCCTAGCCAACAACTAGAGCCCAAGCAAACTTCAGAGAACTCCCACATTCAACAAACAAAACATAGCTCCCCTAACCATAGGGAGAATAATCTACTTAAAGCAAAACAATGATCATCTAAATCCGTAAACATCCTTTTATTTTGAATTTTCCCTCACAAACCCATCTTTAATTATTTCTTAATTCACAGTTGGGCCCCACCAAGGAGATCCGCCTCCTGCTGAGTGGAACCTTTGTTCCACCTGGTGTAAACGTGAGTCGGTCAAAGGTGGACCAATTAGATCGGTCCAAGGAGCAGTTTAACAATACCCCCTCCCAAAAGACCCATCTTGTCTTCAAGGTGAAAACATGGAAATTGATGCTTCACCCTCTCGTATGGCTCCCAGGTGGCGGCATAGTCATGTAGGCTCTTCCGTTTGATCAACAGATTGATGAAAAAAATGAAAAAAAAAAAAACAAACAAGATACAATGGATCTTCAATTGGAGAGAAAGATCTTCCTCTCTCAATCCCAAGCCAACAACTATAGTCCAAGCAAACTTCAGAGAACTCCCAAATTCAGCAAACAAAACATAGCTCCCCTAACCATAGGGAGAATAATCTACTTAAAGCAAAACAACAATCATCTTAATCCGTAAACATCCTTTTATTTTGAATTTTCCCTCACAAATCCATCTTTAATTATTTCTTAATTCAATGTTGGGCCCCACCAACGAGATTTGCCTCCCGCTGAGTGGAACCTTTGTTCCACCTGGTGTAAACATGTGTCGGTCCAAGGTGGACCAATTAGATCAGTCCAGGGACCAGTTTAACAATACCCCCTCCCAAAAGACCCATCTTGTCTTTAAGGTGAAAATATGGAAATTGATGCTTCACCCTCTCATATGGCTCCCAGGTGGCGTCATAGTCATGTAGTCTCTTCCATTTGATCAACACTTCTTTGACACCCCCCCCCCCCCCCCCCCCCCTTCTCCTTGTCATACCCCTTTCAGCTCTAGTGGTTCCAACACCATCTCCAAATCCTCAGTTAGTGTCACTAGTAACTCTGAACTAACTGCATGCTCCTCAAGAGCTCTCCTCAACTGTGACACGTGGAACACTGGATGTATGGTAGCGATCGAGGGTAACCTCAAGAGATAAGCCACTGCTCCAATCTTCTCCAATATCTAATAAGAGCCAAAGTACCTCGGGGCCAGCTTCTAGTTCCTCCTGCTGGCTACTGTCCTCTGTCTGTAGGGTCTTAATTTTAAGAACATCATATCCCCCACCTTGAATTGGATGTCCTTCTTGTGTCCATTTGTCTACTTCATAATATGTTGTGCCACCCACGGGTGCCTCTTCAGTTCCTCCTACACTCACTCTTTCCTCTAAGTACTGCTCTACTAAAGAGATTGATGTGCTCCTATGCCCAAAATGCACCAAGTGTGGAGTGATGAGGTCATCAACAGACATTTTAGGCAGGTTTATCGGCGAAGAAATCGTAGATCGACGGCTACGATCGGGAGTTTATATTTTTGATGTTATCATGTCGTTTTTTATGTTATTTTATTGTGTGTATCTTTTATTTCATGTACTTGTGACGATTTCGCCCTTATATTGGCATAGTGTTTATTGTAGCCCAAGGGGCATGTGAGTCTTTTTTCATGCTTTGAGGTCTTTATAATGAGATCTCCTCTTATTGTATGAGTTGATGATTGATTAATGAAATTTTCTGAAATTCCTTTTGTCTTCTTGCTTGAGAGCTTGAGAGAAAAGAGAGAGGAGGCCTAGGTGAGGCTCCGGCCGCAATACCCAACAGCCCGCTCCGGCGAGCTCTTGGTTTTTCCTTGTAAGTTCACTGTTTTTCTCTTCCCTACCAATTCCTCCATACACCCGTTTCCTCCCCTGCAGTCAAAATCCCGAAATCCCCTCCTCTGTTCCGCCCGAACTCCCTCACCCGCACCCCTGCCTCCCCGCTGTGCCAGCCGACCGCTCCCTCCAGGCCAACGAAACCCTTAGCCCGTCCCCCCCTCCTCTGTCCAGGCAATCCCGCCACCTAGCCCAGGAAAAATTCAAATTTTTGGGCATTAATTCTCTCATTAATCCTTCCTAAATTAATGCCTTATAATGATCTAGAACGATTTATTCCCTTACTTTGTTGGTAATAAAATTTGTGTTGACAAAGCTTTGAATAATTTTTATTTTTAGTTTCCAATCGCAATTCCTACATTGATTCACATCATGGAGTCTCTTCCATACAACACTTTGAAAGGGGTTATTTGGGAAGATGAATGCTATGAAATGTTGTACCAGTACTCCGCCCACACTAGCCATTTGGCCCACAACCGAGGTGTCTCTGAAACATGATACAACTGCAGATAAATCTCCAAACTCATATTACCACCTGTCTATCTATCTATCCAAGGGTGGTAAGCGATGCTTCTCTTTAGAACTGTTCATTGCAGCCTGAACAACTCTCTCCAAATTTGACTGAGGAACACCTTATTTCGGTCAAATACTATTGACTATGAGATCCCATGCAATCTAATCACCTCTCTGATGAATGTTGTTGTTATTGCAACTGTCGTGCTGGGGTGTTGCAAGGAAATGAAATGAGCATACTTGCTCAACTTCTCAACAACCACGAGAATAACTTTAACCCCTCATATCAGGGTAGCCCATCTATGAAACCCATGGTGACCTCCTCCTACATTCTATTTGAAAGAGTAAGGGGTTGAAGTAATCCCCCTGGAGCCATAAAAATATACTTGTTTCTCTAATATACCTCACACCTAACCGTTGAACTCATACAGCAAGTGAGAATATGAACCAAGGTCCGTGGCAGCACAAACCTCCATTGATATAGTAGTCTCTCTCCCTCTAGCGAATAACAAGAGTGATTATTATCATCCCTCTATAGATCCATCCTTATCTTCCTCAACTCCTCATCCCACACAATCTCCTCTTTGATAGCCCCTTAATCTATCATCAATGGTATCGAAATGACCATCTATTGGAGCTCCATACATTTAGATAAGGCGTCGCCCGCCTTATTCTCTAATCCTGGCTAGTATTGGATTTCAAAGTCAAAACCCAATAGCTTGGACAATCACCTTTGATGCTCCTCGCTCACCATCCTTTGTGCTAACAAGTATTTCAAACTCCTATGGTCTGTTCTGATAATAAAATGTCAGCCCAATAAGTAAGACTGCCACTTCTAAATGGCCAACACGATGGTCATCAATTCCCTCTTATAAATTGATTTCAACCTTAACTCTGGTTATCAAAACTTGACTGAAGTATGCTATAGGTCTACAATTCTGAATAAGCACTGCTCCCAATCCATACCCGGATGCGTTCGTCTCTACCACGAAAATCTAGTTGAAATTAGGTAAGGCTAGGACTAGTACCATGGCCATGGCCTTCAACTTCTCAAAAGCCTGGTAGCTGCCTCACCCCACAAGAAGCTATCCTTCTTCAACTGTTCTGTTAGTGGCTAGCTATAGTATTGTACCCACTCACAAATCGCCTGTAATACCCCGTTAGTCCTAGGAAACCTCTCAACTCTATCATATTCCTAAGTAGTGGTCATTTCAGCATTGCCTTAACCTTGACCTGATTAGTAGCTACTTCTTCATGGGATACCACGTGTTTCAAGTACTCCACACTAGGGTTTCGTCAAGTTATCCCTCAATTATTGCTCCTATAAAACTTCTTCAAGTTGACCCTCAACTGCTGCTCCTATAAGACTCCTAAGACCACCCTCAAGTGCCCCAAATGCTCCTCCTCAGACTTGTTGTACACTAGGGTTTCGTCAGCACAAACTTCTGGAAGTATGGTCAGAATACCTTGTTTATAAGGGACTGGAAAGTAGCAAGGTTATTTATGAGGCTAAACGACATCACTAAGAACTCGTAATGCCTCTCATATGTCCTGAAAGCAGTCTTCAGGACATCCTCTTCTCTCTTCATGATCCGAGGATATCCCGACTTCTAATCCATCTTGGTGAACAACACCGCTCCACACAGCTCATCTAGTAGCTCATTAATCATCGGTATGGGAAACTTGTCCGGCATAGTCTCTTTATTCAGGGCACAATAGTAAACACAGAATCTCCAGCTCTCATCATTCTTCTTGAACAGTAAGACTGAGCTAGAAAAAGGACTCACACTCAGCCTACTGATCCTCGCCTCCAACATCTCCCGAATCAGCTTCTCAATCTCGTCCTTATGAATCTGAGGGTAGTGGTACGGTCAGACACTAATCGGTGACACCTCCTCCCTCAGGATAATGGTGTGCTCCAGCTCCCTTAGTGGTGATAAGCTCTGTGGTGGCTGAAAGACCTCACTGAACTATTTTATGAGTGGCTGCACTGAGACAGAAATGTCTCCCCCTCCATCCC